GCCCGTACGGCCGTCAGGGGGGCCGTACGTACGGCCGTATGGGCCGTGCAGACGCCCCGTATCTGTACGGGGTGTCACATAGGCGCCAACAATAGCGACTCCAAACCGGCGCTGGTAGGAGACGACGGCTGTTACGTCGGCTCCTGCCCTGCCTCGCCGTCAACCCCGCCATCGCTGACGGGGCACGGAGTATCCTCTACACCTGCTCTGGTCAGGCTCCGGTAGTTCCGGTGAGTTTCCTTTCGAGGCAGCCATAGTAGCTGCCAGCCTGCCATACCACTTATGGGAGAGAGAATGACGGTTGGTCTTATTTGTCTCCTGCTGGGGTAATAATCCACAAGCTTTTACCTAAATGTGGTCAAACCTAATTTAGGGTTGACGGAGAGAAGTAATTCTGTTTTGCTGTCGACCTTGCGTTGTGGGATATTCCTGGCCAGGAGGTAGTGGTTTTCAGAAATGGAGGGGATATGGGTGGTTCCTCTACACCTGTTTTGGCTCTGGTAGCTCCGGTGAGTCTCCTTTCGAGACAGCCTTGCCACCCATGAGAGGAGTTTGACTGTTGGTCTTTTCTAGTCCTGGCTCCTGTTGGGGCAATCTTACGCAAGTTTTTACATAGACGTGGTCATTCAGATTTAGGGTTGACTGAGAGGAGTAATTCTGTTTTGGGGTCGTCCATGCTTGTGTGAGAACCCTGTCGAGGTGGTAGCAGTCTCAGAGAGGAGGAGGATATGGAGCCTCCTGAAGGAACCTGGAATAGTAGTCCCATGTGGTTACGAAGGGTTGGGGAGAGAAAGACACTAGAGGAAGCTTGATTTTGACCCACCTGTACGCGAAGTAATCGGAGCCTCTCGGAACAGTCTAACTTCAGGGAACATGCGGGCTACTAGGTCATCCTCCCCAATTCCCTTTTCCTTTGATGAAGGGGAGCCGGGCTACTTTCTGTTAGAGGTAATTGACTTTTGGACTATGTTTCGGGACGGACGCTGGTAAGGAGAGAGTGCCAGATCCTATCTAAGAGAAATTAAAGGGTAGGGGGAGAGGTGGGCCATAGCTCTTGAGTTAAAAAAAAAAAAAATCCCCGTCTATACCTTTCTCGGCCTTTTGGCTAAGATCAAGTGTAGTAGTATCTGTTCTGATCAGTTTAATATCTGATCTGTGGTCCACCGGGCCACATGATATTTAAAAAAAAAAAAAAAAAAAAAYCCCGCCTGTGGCAACTAGACCACACGTAAGTACATCATGCACACAACATGCAATCCCGATGAGGACAACAGATTGGCAAGGCAAGAACATCATGCATACAACATGCAACACTGGTGATATGGCAAGGGATCGGCCCAACGGCCTAAAGCAGCACACAGAGACAATACCGAAGAGTCAGCCATACGATGAGAGACACGGTCGAAATCAAATCTCCCGAACGTAACATGATAGGCATTAAAAGTAAAAACAATGAAACCAGCCTAGTAAGTTCAGCCCGAAAATGGACAGCATGTCCAATCGTCGTCAAAACCCATGGCGAACTGTCCGGCGACGACCCTACGCGTTTCATCCGGTGCCGGACCAGAATCGTCAGGGGTCACACGTCACGCTGAGTGAGTTTGACGTACCGAAGCCTGGATATATAGACGGACCGAAGACAGGGGCCTTAGCCAAGACAACAGACAGTAGGACCAGTGGTCCCGGTAGTAGAAGACCGACGTACCAAAATAGACAAAATCGAGACAAGAAAGACCGTGGATCAGATAACATCAGAGGCACACAGCAGGTCCCAAGCCCCGCCGAGCCGAGAGAGCCCTAGAAAGTTCCGAGACCGGAATAGAAACCCACCGTAAGATTCACACGCCGCCGCACCAAAGCGACAGAAAAGGCCTAAGAGGGTTGCAAAACAGACAGAAACCAGTCTCCGCTTCAAGGAACCCCAACAACTGCACCCAATGGTCCCACTCATATATCCCAAAAAGCCCCCAGCCCATCTACATTAAGCCTACCAGACAATCCTATGTCCGGGAAAAATTTTGTCCCACTTCGTAAACAACTGGACCCAATGGTCCCACTCACCTCCAAATTTCAGGGAGAAATTTGACAAAGACTGATCAAAGATCTCATCTGGGAATCCACGGATGCGTAACTCAATATTGAGAGTCAAGAGGAAGGAAGCCACTGCAGCCGGAAGATTAGTAAATCTCCAAGCACGGTGTAAAAAGGAACCGACAACAGCCATCTTCTGCTGTCGGCTGACGTACGAACAATTATCCTGCAGGTTCTGAAAAAGAATGCCATGTTGAAAAACAGAAAGCTGATTCTTGTGAAGGGCAGCGCATCTAACCCCGATCGGCCAATCGAACCTGCGGAAAAAACACCCGAGGAAATCCCAGCTGTCCGATCTACTGGTACATTCCAGTATCAGATTAGCATCATAGCACTTCTCGAAGTCAGTCAGGATCCTTTCAGCACGACGAAGGGAAGTAATATCCTGGGTTTCATACTTGATGAACACCCATATGTCATCGATGAGTCGAATACCATGAACCAAACGTCGATCGTTACCCAAGCCTGAGAGACAGCAGAACTCAGAATAGACGCAAAGGAGGCAGGCCATAGGAAGTAAACAATGACTGCACTTGGCAGCACACAGCACACTGACCAATCACACGAGGAGACAAGTCAAAAGCTGCACATCACATTAGAAAACGAAAGTCGTCAACTCCTGGGGAAAACCCGGTGGCTTGAGGGCGACAGGCCATAGCAGGGCTTGAGGATTTACCCATAGGAATGCCAACAGTCTGACGAAAGATCATACCGCTAGCCTTGATCAGAGTGTGATCAAGGTCATATGAGACCAATTTCTGAAGAACCGAGAAGTCGATAGAACTCAACCCATCCTGCAGCAAACCACGATGCAATTTGGCTTCCTTGCCATGCTTCTTCAGGAGAATCCCTTTAACCTGCTGTCCACGTCAATAGTCAATTGCCCAATCCAGG